AAAATAATAATAATAATAAGAAAGAGTAACAATGTACTGAAGGGCAAGGTAAGGACGAAATTGTTTTTTAGAAATATTTTATTTCTTCTCTTCGTACAACCGGTAAAGCTTTTTTGAATTTTTGAATCTTATGGATGGAGGATTTTCGCTCAGATTCTCGCTCAGTGTTCACTTTTTGCATATTGCTGTGATGGATATTTTAATTTAATTTACATATGACTGACTGCCGGACGAGATTAGCCACAAAATTTTCAAAAAGTTTCTTCTTGGGGTAACACGCAATTATGAAGGCTTTCATAGGTATGAATTGTTATATCGACTTGATACTCTGCTTTTTTATCTATCTGTTGATATCGTACTTATTAAAAGAACCAATTTTCTAAGTCTATTTAAATGGAGTAAACGTGATTCAATTGAACGCTATTATTGATATCTACAGTAAAATTTTTGAGAATCAGGGTTGCTTTATGAATATTAAAAAGTAAATTGAGTATAGTAAATAAAATATGTACATTTTTTTTTTTTGTTTTGTGTATAGGTTTTGATTTTGATAAATAAAAAAAAAAAAATAATAATAAAAATAATAATTTCGTCAGTTAACAAATTTCTAGTATTTTGGGTATTTTTCAGAAATATATAAAAAGCAAATAATTCGATAGTTAGCACGCGGTTATTGGCTGTTCTCCCTCTTGTTTATTACCCCTCCGTCAAAGCTTGCAGAAATGTCATCGTTCTTTTCGAAGTTTCTATCAACGGCAAAAACCACATGTCTTTTTGGTTGTGAGAGATTATTTTAAATATTACGCTGAATTGTGATAAAAAACCCTGTGAAAGTGTGCAAAAGTGACATCTTAATAACGCATTGATAATTGAAATTTAAGAATCAATACGAAATCGTTTTAAAAGGTGTGAAATATTGAAATGAAAAATTTTCTCTAAAGACTAAAAATTTTGTTGTTTTCCCACACACAAACACATACACAACTCGCTATACATCATCGTTTTGACATATACTGCGGACTTGTCAAACTACGTATCGCTTGTCTCGTTTTATTCGCCGAATTTCTCCTTCGAATTTGTCAATAAGGCAAAACAAAAACAAAACAAGTAACTGTTTGTGCAACGTAACCGAGAGAAAAAGTGCATTGTATCTTAAAAAAAAAAAAAAGAAAGAAAAAAAAACAACAACTAAAGTATCTGGCAAAGTGAAGTACCGCAATTTGGGTCTGAAATACGTTTTATTGTAAAGAAACAAATTGAGAATTGTTGTTTCTTAATTGGTGGGTATATTGTTTGCGTCTTTTTCGACAGAAAACAATTACTTTGTTTTATGTGTTTTGTGTCATTTCGTGTTATTTCGCGGCTAAGGGTAAACGTTGACTTTTCGAAATTTCTTAACAGCTGTTTATTAGTGTGGATTTTGTAATTTCGAAAGATGAATTTATTGAAAGTAGTGTTGTAGTTCCGGTGTTGATAAAAGCATCACAACATAAAATACTCGTAACGGTGTTGCGTAATTTCGTATTCTCGATAGACGATAATGTAACGTATAACGATGTTTTTAAAAATGCTCTAATTTAACAGTAAATATATATTCTTTGGCTAATATTTCACTGCGTCAACATAATTTTGAGATGGAGACTCTATAGAATCCATATTACTAAGTCGTGTCTATCCGTTGGTCTTCTATTGTTGCAATTCTTGAGCAAGTAAACAACAGGAACAACTGATGTTCTAAATACAATTAATAAAATGTCAAGAATTTCGATAAGTATTATTTGCTTTATCAGTTGATTTTCCAATTTAATTTACAAAATCTAACAACTGTTTTCATAGTATCGCTGCCGACTTTTCTTTCATGTCAAAACTACGATTTCATTAAAAAATATGGCAGTTTTTACATTAATCTTTGTCGAAGACTTTCAAAAAATTATGTTATTTTGAGAGAAGTTTTTAGAATTTTTGAAAAACGTGAAAAAAAAAAAAACTTTAAAACAAATGCGCAAAACAAATCATATAATACAATTTCAATTATTTTCAAATTGATTAGATGCCACTTCCTTTAGCTCACGTCCGCAGAGAAGCTGTAAAGAGGGAGAAGAAACTAAAACATTTCGCATTTTGATACATTAAAGTGGCGATTTACAACTTTTGATTTGTTTTTTGATGCGGGCAAGTTTAAATACAATGTGCTTGAGAGACACTCTCCTCCGTCTGACCATTATTCTTTAGTTACGTGGTTCATGCCAATGTAAGCGACACGATCTTCTTTGATTAAAATCAAGAGTCCATAAAGTGCAGTATAATTTTTGAACAAAAGACAAATGAGAATTTAGAAAATTTGTAAACTTGCACTTTTAAAAAATGCGGATATATATGGGAAAAGGGAATCGAGTATTTTCAATTAAAAACAATTTAGAAACGTTAGCATTTTAATAATGTCAAAAGGACAATTTGACTAGATTTTTGCTAATTTGTCTTAGAAGCCATTAAACTTATTATTAAACTCTTTCTAAACTCTATGAAAATAAAAAAAAAAGGAGTTTGTTTTAGTAAAATGATTCAATACTATTTTAAGCGTTTATCATTCGTGACCATTAGTATGCAACACTGAATATAGTTTACGTAGTAGTGTGGTTGTGTAATTTCCCCTCAGTTCGAATACAAGACAGCTGATTTCACGTCGTTATTTGCGGCTATCGTTTACACTTTCTGTTGATGTTCTGTTTTTTGCTGCACAAGTGAGGCCAACCGTAGCCATTGAAAAAGCCAAGTTGTCAGAAGATTTGTAATACATGTGTATACATTTACTGTAAATGAGACAACTTTAAATTATCTAACTAGTGTACTAAGCAAGCGAGTTGAAAAAAGTCTTGACAAATAAGTGGAAAACGCGTTTTAGATAAGAAATAGAAAGAGAAAAAAAAAAAAAAAGATTTATACCAATTTTACTAAGTAAGCATCACTAAATTTCGTGTTTGTGTGTGCGTCTGCGAAGAAGTTGGGAAAATCTAACCTCACACATCTTCAAACAGAATATCGTACATAGTCAAGCGATGATTAGAGATTTATTACGACAATAATTTTTGAAAAAATATTTTCTTTCGAAATTTGTATGAATTTCATTTAAAACCAAAACTGAATAAATTAAAGATATACAGAAATATACTGTAAAAATTAAAAATATTAGATTTGAAAAAGTGTGTAGAAGTGATTTCACAAGAGAAAAATATGCTCACTTAAGGAAGTGCGTTCATTGGAGGCCGAACGAAATAGACTGAAAGAGGAAGACTACACAAAAAAGAAAGTATATATATATATATATATATATATATAAATATATATAAATATATATAAATATATATAAATACATAAATATATATAAATACATAAATATAAATGTTTAAAGATTTATCTCTCTAGTCAAAACTCCAAGTAGTTTCTAAGAAACTCGACGGTGGCATAAAAAGTTCCTCATAATGTTAACAATTGCTTAAGCTAGTAATATTTCGCAACAAGGATTTAAATCATAAATTTCTATTCAGAACCTTACTGAAGTTTGCAATAGTTCTGTTTTTACTATTTGTAATCGTATGTATGTGTGTGAAAAGTATTCAAATGTACCGTGTTATTATTGATAAAATATTTTTCTTCATTATCTACAATTTTCAGTTCGAATTTCGAAACCATTGCAGAAGTTTAAAAAAACTTGCAATTGACATACTACGAGTTTGTTAAGTGGACGAGGAAGCAACAAAGAGTTTCCAAGACGTCTGCTTTTTCGATTCTGGGGTAAATAACGCTTGGTACGTTATTGTACTCTAGAAGAGGTTACTGAAGTGTATAAGACAAGATTATGTCAGCTAGGGAAGAAATCTCTCCAGGAGGAGCAGCAGCTAATGTAGCTGCTTCAACTTCGGCGACATCTGTCAGTTCCGTTACGTCGTACGCCAACGTTTTGCAAAATTTGGACTCGAAGAAATCATCTCCGTCAATTGCGTCCAGTGAAAGCAAGAACTCTACTACTAGTACCGATCAGGATAATAAAGAAAACCAACCCAATGTCAAGTCAATGAAATCTTGGAGTGAAGAATCTGCTACTGCCGATGCCATTATTGAGAATACGACTACTTGTGAGGTAGCTAACGAAGCTGGTTCTTCTGCAGCTGGTGAAAAGCGTGCAGCCGGCATAAATACGGATACAACAGCTGAAAATTCTTCAGAAATGGATGACAACGCAGATTTTGTACCGGTTATTTCTCATCATCGCCGTGATCGTAAAAAAGCCCGAAAAGATAAGATTCGTCAAGGTAATAACAATGGCGAACGTAGCACAGGAACTGGCAGTGGCCAGCCACAAAATGGTGGAAATGGCCAAAAGACTGGACATGGTCAACGACGTGGTGGTGGTGGTGGTGGCGGTGGAGGGGGTGGTGCTGTTGGTGGACCTCAAGAAAAAGATGGCGAACGCAAGTATACGGCCCGTCAACGCCAACGTGGTAGTAGTTCGGGACGTAAGGGCGTTGCGGCCAATGCTGCTGCGGTTAAAACGCAAAAAGAACGCAAAGATGCATCTCCAAGCGCTAATGCGGAGAATCCCGGTAGTGGAAATGAAGGCAAAAGTGCCGACGGTGATGCTCAAACAACAGCTGCTGGAACAGCTGCAGCTCCTACATCTACACAACCGAAGAAATTCGTCGCAGCTCCCCCACCAAAAGTTAACGCTTGGAAGGTAGGTGCTTATAATTCATTCAATTGTTTACGATTAAGCTTAAGTAATTTATAAACACAAACTCAACTTTTTATTAGTTTAGCTTTAAATTAACGACATGTATATTATTATATTCGATAAATGGAAAAAAGAGAGTAGTTTATATTAAAGGCAAATGATTTGTACAGGTTTTAGCTGATTTTTGAAATCCATTATGATAACTTGTCATAGATGGAGAAGGTATAATTTATATTTGTTATTATGAAAGGAATGTGAAAGCAAAAGTTCTACTTGTATAAATCTGTATCTACATATGCGTCATAGAATTGATTTTCTCTCGCATTTCCTTTACGAAGGTGAAATATATGTTCTTCGTTCCAAATTTAATGATTTATACATATCCATTTGCCTTTAGATTGGATGAGATTTGGAAAATGTTTGAAAATAGGCTCTATCCAAGCGTAATCATTTCCTAAACAATTCCTAAATTATGAGGCAAACTTCGGGAAGGGAGTATATCATCAACGCAATTACTTGCAATTTACATAAAGTATTGACCACAAATTTGTAATGATTGTACAATTAAACACTCAGCAATGAATTTTATAGAATAGTTTGGATAATGATTGATGAAATGATTGAATAAGTAAAATAATTGTCTTATATTAAGCTCTATAGGTGGGTGCTCATTATTCCGTTTCACCTGAACAAAGTTTTCTAATGTATGAAGAATGAAGCATTAGTTTCATTTTTCTGAACCTGATCCAATTTTCTATTTTTTTTTTACAGAATCTAATTCATTCGCTCTGATATAAATCTATACCGTATTAGTTAGAAATTTCATTCTTCACATTAAACATACATTAAATGTAGGTGTGTGCATATATATTATTTGTACATATATACATAACTCTGTATAACCATATTCCTATTTCTTGGGATTCACGATAAAAATCTTAGACGCAATGTTTTTCTTTTAAGCATTTCCATAACAAATTGTTTTTGTTTGCATTCTATCGCAGTTGAGAAAACAAATACAGAATACAGAAGAAATTAATAGGAGTATGAAAACAAATGGGCTCTCGTCATTCAAAAGGCAGATATCACAAACTTTACACGCTGCTCATAATTATTAGTAACGATATTATATAATTAGCTTCGCCTACTACTACTGTAAGAAACTTTTGTGGTTACTGCAGTTTTAAGCGAAAGCAGAGCGATTTCGCAGGGATACATTTACTTACATACTATTAATATCATGTTGTACGCATTTTTATACATCTGGCTTAGCTGGCACTAGGCATTACAATATAAAAATTTTCAACTTGAATCTTGAGAAAGTTATCTAAAATTTACGGAAGAATATGATTAGAAATAATTAAATTCAATATTTTTTCGGCTAATTTCACGATAAGCTAAATGTCACCAGAAAGATTTCTTAAACGATGATTATTCGTCTGGTGTGCATTAGTTCTCTGAACTTGTATAAAAATATTATAATGAGTTGCAGTCAATCGCTAGATACTATTTTGAACAATTTTGCTTAATGCAGTTATTCAAGTTACGACTTTTTCAAAATAGGGCGTTATAGGGACAAGTGATGAACGTAGACATCTTCAATAGCTTTCCTGCTTATGTCAAAACACTTTTATCAACACATTTCAAAAAATGCGATCCGTAGGTATAATACCTGCATGAGTTATTAATTTGGGCACCGTAACATTACGTTCGGTTCATTCCACAGCGCCAGTTCTGCTTACCAAAATCATGCCCTGAAAGGTGAGGTTCTTACTTATTTAAAGTTTGAGAAAAGGTTAAGATCGTTTCGACCCTGAGGCCTCTAATCATTCGCTTTACCAGATAAGATTATTGAACGCAAAGTTACATGGGCGGGCATTAGACGGACGGATAACCTTCGATCAATTCAGAATTCTTAAGACCTTTTGTACCTTGCACCAAAAGGTTACTTAGATGCGGGATTAGCAAAAAATTGTATTTTGGGATGAAAAAAAAATTATTTATTTTTATATATTTATTTCGCTTATAGAACCAAATCCTTATATACACAGTTTAAATATATTACAATGCCCAAGCTCTTTCACGATTAAATTATACTAAAATAATTAAATTTGCACAGCTGTTAAAAAGCTTGTACAGAAAACGAACGCTTGCTATAAATAAGAGACCATTGTCAATATGTACTTAACTAATTTTTGCTTAAAGAGATTAAGCCTAGTATTATGAGTTGCAAGATTTAGGAGGAGGTTGTTCGACTGAGGTCGTTAGGAAGAGAATGACTACTTTGGGATTCCTATCAGATCTGCTAAGTGGAGTGATTGAAACTTAATAACCTTAAACAACAGATAAATGAAAAGTCGGTCTTTAAGTTAACTTCAAACAAGAATTTTATGAATATTCGAACAAAAGAAGAGGAGTAATCTCTGAGTCGGATATTATAGTTAAGGCGAACAATCTTATGAATGGCCATTTTAAGTACGAAACGCAAAACTATTATTTTCTTGTTTTTTTTTTTTTTTTTTTTGGTTAACTTTCCTTGACTTTACCGTTGCTACAAATTAAAAATTTGCTAAAGATTTGACTCGAAATCTATCAAGCGTCGTAAGATTGAATTAAAAAAAAAATTATATGAATTCGAAAAAAAAATTTTTTTGAATAGCTAGAGCTTAGTAGAAGAATCTCAGTTTTTAAAATCGATTTAAAATTTCCAGAGGGTAATCGGATCGAAATTGAAGGAGACGGTCGCCCGTATTGTATTGTAAGATAGAACAAATATTAAGTAAATTTAAGTGTTATTCATATTCATTTTTTTTCTTTTCTTTTACATTTATTAACATAACATACTTTGGAAAAAACTAGAACATAGCAAGAGCTCAGAACGTTATGTTAATTAATATGTATCGCTTAAAATGTAACGGTAAAAAAATAGGTGCGAAATGCTTTTTCTTCATAAATTGGAAAAAGAAAAAAAACATTACATCAATGTTCTTATAAACTGTATAAGTTTTGACTGACGATATCGGTTAAAATTTACTGAAGGCATCTTGGCGCAACATCACAATCATGTTCGTCTGTAAACTCGAAATATGGTCTCAAGAAAATTTTTAATATTGAAGAATGACTCATTCTAAGCTAAAGCATTTTGAGTTTCCAATACTCCACTCCAAGAGCGAGTGAGAACGGAAGAATTTCAATTGTTAATGCAGTGAAAAATATCGAATTAAAAATAATTCCACTGTCATTTTCAGCAACAGACGGTGAATGGAAATTTAGACAAAAACATAATCTAGTTTATTTGGTTTATGGAGTCGTTGACATCTCTGCTTACATTAGTAGAATAACACTGCTAATATATCTCTATTCTCTATGCTTGTGCGTGGTGTATCATAAAAATAATTATGGGACGAAGGAGACCGTATAGAAAGGGCAGGATGTAGAATAGCCCATGGCAAAACATCAGCCTGTCCTGTGAGGGAGTTTCGACCGTTCCTCTGTCTCAATAGGGGATTTTGCACGTGCCCACCGTGTATAAAGTCTTTGTTGGGCAGAAAGCGAAAGCCGTTGCAGCTCGCTAGCTTTACAATAACACTTGCCTCGTCATGTTACGATATCCGAACGTGTGCCCTTGTGACTATATTGTAACATATAGTTCCGTTACACAAAAGTAGTACCCAATGTAGGGCCCGTTGCACAAAATTGTTTAACATTGACTAAATGATTAAATATATTACTCTGTCTTACACAATATATATAAATATATATATGCATACATATAAGGAATCATTTAAAAGATTTCCCTTATATTGCGTAACACGGTAATATGATCAATAAAAAGTGACGATAGAGACAGAGATAGGGGATTGGTGGCCGTGTATCCAAACGGTATTATGCCTTTATCGTCAAAGCATTTGCTGTAGGTACGACCAAAGTAAAGTCTATCGGCTTTGAGTCTGTAACAAGTAGAATACTTTGAAGGAAAGAAAAAAATCGAAAGTAAAAATTTTACTTAATAGATTCCTTGCTGCTTATATGCGACCCTTTAAAATAAGAAGGAATATATCAAATAAAGATTGTCCTTAGATGAGAAAGTCAAATCGAATGGAATTACATGGAGTACTAAGCCATATCTTACTACGAATATTACTAGAAATGGTACGAAAAATTCAAAAATTCAATTGACTGACCTAGAAGACCTAACTAGAACGAAAAAAGTTGTTGCGATCGATAGGAATTCCTTTGTTTTTTTGTTTATTTATGATTTTGCTCCTTGAAGATTTGGATGGAAAAATATCCTTGAAAAATAAAAATTCTCATAATTTCTTTAACCTGAATAATATCTAAGCTTCACTTGAAGTAAAGTAAATAAATTTTTTTTTACAATAGAAAATAGCTTTCCATTGGAGCCTTCGCCGAAAGATAAAAATAAATTTAATTTGATTTTGCATTTTTAAGACGTAAAATTACGCATTAGGGATTCATTAGAATGCAATTATTCGCGATCAGAGTAATTTGTGGGGGCGTAAGTAACTAAAATGCGCTACTCTCAGATCGGCATTTGTCGAATTCAATTCCCAGTGCAGTGGGCAACAATTAATTTGCAGTTACCCCTCAGAGGCGAAGGCCGTAAAGCGGCAGTAAATATTTATTTATTTACTAATTTTTTTTTTTATCAATATGATCAATCAAGAAATGAGGAACAAGAAAGAAGAAGGGAAATGGCGGTGGCCGCAGCCTAAGCGGATATGTGCCCAATCGGCCATTGGGAAGTGTTATGTTTTTACCGACTCAGCACTCACTATAGCTGGAAGTCGAGTATACCCTTCAAGGTGAATGTTTCTTATATGTGTGTAAACTTGTTCGATTGATAGATATCGATTTTGAAATACAATAAATATGCATTTAAATTTCACCGCAACTTTTCAATATTATTGTTTTTGTATAAAAATGACAATGAATGTCAATAAGCCAATGATAAGCGATAGTTTGTTTTTTTCTTGCTTTTG